TCATTGTGGTCAACTGACCAAGACAAAAGGACATCGTGCAAGATTGTCACCGGAATAAGAAAACAACTGCTCCAAAAGTGACTGTAGAGCTCAATCTCAGTCTTTCGGAGGAACTCCATAAGCAAAACATTCATGGGGCAAGCTGCAATTGCCAAACCACTAAAGACCGATATTAATGCTCATCAGAAGAGAGAGTGGTGCAACACCCGTAAATCATGGACTATCGATCAATGGAAGTGTGTAATATGGTCCGATGAATCGAGCTTCACACTGTTCCCAACCACCGGACGTGTTTACGCATGGCAAACACCGACCCAAGCTTATGACTAGGACTGTCTTGTGCCAACGGAGAAATCATGGTTTGGGCAGCCATATCTTGGTATTCTGCAGGCCCCATCATCACCTTGAAAGGTAGAGTCACTGCCAGCGACTATGTACAAATTTTGGTCAACTATGTGCACCCCATGGAGCAGACATTGTTTCCCGGAGACAGCGCCATTTACCAAGATGACAATGCTCCGATCCACACAGCTGGTGTTGTGAAATCGTGGTTTGATGAGCATGCAGATGAAGTCTCACACCTTCCCTGGGTGCAGCAGTTGCCGGACTTCAATAACATAGAGCCACTATGGTCAATTTTGGAGAATAAGGTTCTGGATTGTTTTCTGCGAGACCTGAAATGACTTTTACATGAAGAGTGGGATCAGATTCCATTATCCACCATCCAAGACTTATATTTTTCAATTCCCAGGAGAATTTCCATCCCATTGGATGCCAAAGGCCATCTAACACCATACTAGGTAACAATTTTGTTCTTTTACCTGGCGTTTCCATCATTTTGTCCAACCTCTGTATTTGGAACGTTTCCTTGAGGTGTTATCCCATGGGGTAGTCTTTCTTGTAGCCATTGCTTAGTTTAGAACGATCAGAGTTTAACCCTTTGCGCCGGAGCCTCCCAGCCCTTTAAGAGTTTCAGGATCATGTGACCGGCGTGATTTGCTGTCACGGCGGTCACATGATCAGAAAAGGTCCCGATCGCAAGGGGAGATCGGGACCTTTCTGTAAGTCACGGACTTTTGTGCTGGGAGTGCGCACGCCCTCAGCACATATGTATTTTCTAATGGCACGCAAATATGCGGCAGCTCGGTGTCTGGGGCTTGACGCCGAGCGGCTGCATATTTGCGTGTGATCGGAGTCTAGGGGTTAATCAGCATTCTCCTGTAAGGAACCCCATTTGATCTTTCACAAAAGGTTTTTTTAAGACCAAGACCCTCTTTTTTCCCCAATGTGGTCTCCTCTGTTTTTCACCACAATGAGGATATTTTGTTGTCTTCCCTGTGCCCAGTGTCATTTCACCCCTAGGAGAGGTCTCTCCATTGTCTGGATGAGGTGAAGGCCATCGGGTTTACATCTTGGCTGCTGCTTCTTTTTGGCATATCATCCGTTTTTGATGCTTTATCCACTTGAGCTCCTGGAGGTTTTAACCCTTTTGTGACCAGGCCATTTTTTTGCTATTCAGCACTGAGCTACTTTAACTGGCAATTGTGCAGCCATGCAACACTGTACCCAAATGAAATTTACTTTTTTTCACACAAATAGAGCCTTTCTTTGGTGGTATTTGATCACCACTGGGTGTTTTACTTTTAATTGTATAAACTAAAAAAGACCAAAAATGTTGAAAAAAAAATATTATCAATATTTTCTACTTTCTGTTATAAAACATACCCAATAAAATCAAATTTCTTCATAAATTTAAGCCAAAATGTATTCTGCTACATGTCTTTGGTAAAAAAATATATAAATCCCAATAGATGTATATTAATTAGTTATAGAGTCTACAAACTATGATATATATATCTGAAAATCTATCAATCCTGATGGCCTCTCTAATTCCTTAAAATGCCAGAACAATACAAATACCCCCCCCAAATGACCCCTTTTTGAAAAGTAGACAGCCTGGGACATTTAGTAAGATGCATGGCAAGTTTTTTGAAGTTGTAATTTTTTTGTCATAATTTTTTGGAAAATGAAGAAATTAAAGTAGAACTATAGGCAAAATGTTTTTTGATATTGGATAGGGAGGGTTATAACCCCAGAAAAGTTCATCTTTGTCCCATTGGGGAGATTGCCCTTCACTGCCTGTCCCGTAGCCAAGCAGGAAGTGAGAGAAAATCCATGCAAATTAAGGGATTTTTGGGGGGTCACCAGATCTGATGTCCCCATTGGAAGATTCCCCCCTCTATTACTTTTCTGGGGACAACCCAACATTTGGGACTTTTACTTTCACTTTCAATGATGATGGTAAACAGGACAAATAGAGAGGGGGGAATCTTCCTAACGGGGGCACAGACAGCAATAAAAACTGACAGGTATATGGAAAAAAAGTTTTGACTTTATACTTTAAATAAGATTTGTGTTTTTTTTCACAATTTGTTTTACATACTGTCACCAGTGCAGTACAGCGTCATCATATGACTGGTGTCACGGTGATTAGAGACAATGGTGACAGTATGAAAAAAACAAAACTAAACAAATATTAAAAATATATATTTTTTTTTTTACATACTTTCATCACTATAGTAACACTGTACTACTCTGGGGAGGTTGATCAGGTATTTTGGTTTTTTACACTTAGATTACTGTTACAACTATGATCATTGTAACAGCAAATGCTTTGAACTGTCATGAATGAGTTTCATTCATAACATCTGTTATTACTAATTATCTTTTTTTGACATACTTTCATCACTATAGTAACACTGTACTACTCTGGGGGGTTAATCAGGGAATTTTTTTGACACTTAGATTACTGTTACAACTATTATCATTGTAACAGCAATGCTTTGAACTGTCATGAATGAGTTTTATTCATAACGTCTGTGATTACTAATTATCTGTGATTGGCTACAGCTATTCACATGGTACAGTGACTGTCCCGGGTACCATGTGATAGCTGTGGGCAAATCACAACTCATTGGTTTAGGAAGCAGAGCTGTTATGAAAGAGATTAATTCATAACAGCTTTGTTGACATTGTGATCTTGCGATCGAGCGGCCTGGTACCAGGAGCCGCAATACAAGTCTCTCTCCATTTCCTGATTGGGCTAACTAAAAGGAAAAAAAGACCAAAGCAGAATCAGTCATATATTTCAGGCTCTAGACAAAAGGTTTTTTTTTTATAAGCAGAATCTAAAGTAGACAAGTTTCAAGAAGTTATGTAGGATAATCAGTGAGGTTATTTTTAAGATTTAATGTTTATTCCTCACCTGTGCTGATCTCTACAGGACTGTCCTCCTCTTTAATCCTCACATGTTCTTCTTCCTCTTCATCAGCTTTGACATCTATCTGAGTGCCTCTGGTATCTGTGAATAAAGAGGAGAGTGAAGCCCCCTGTACTGGGATGTATGAGGGACCCCAGAGAGTGTGTGTGGGGGGAGACTGGTCACGTCTCAATGATATGATGTGAGGAGGAGAGCCAGAGTCTAATAGAGGCTGATGGCTCCTGACCCCCCCCACTGGGCACATACTGTCCCCCCCATTACTGTCTACTGACAGAGGAGGGGGGAGAAGAAGAGATTGTTGTAGTGACTGAACGAGGAGGATCTGGGACTCTTCTCTGGATTTAGTGCTTATTACTCACCTGTGCTGAGCTCAGGAGGAAATTCCTCTTCTTTAATCATGATATGTACATCTTCTTCCTCCTCAGCATTGATATTTCTCCACGTCTCTCTGGTGTCTCCAGGGTCTGTGAATAAAGAGGAGAGTGAATCCCCCTGTACTGAAATGTATGAGAACCCAGAGAGTGTGTGTGGGGGGAGACTGGTCACGTCTGAATGACTTGATGTGAGGAGGAGAGCCGAAGTCTAATAGAGGCTGATGGCTCCTGACCCCCCCACTGGGCACAAACTGTCCCCCCATTACTGTCTACTGACAGAGGAGGGGGGAGAAGAAGAGATTGTTGTAGTGACTAAACAAGGAGGATCTGGGACTCTTCTCTGGATTTAATGTTTATTACTCACCAGTCTCTGGAGGAATTTCCTCCTCTCTACATGACTCGTCACCTATCACATACGACTCTGGTACTTCCTCTCTAGCTTCTTTTCTTTGATCAGACCGGTTTCCTTCCAATGTTACCTAGACAAGAAGGATGGTTCTCTTAAATAATGCTCTTCAAAATGTTTTATATTTTATGACTGTATCCATGAACTTCTACTTGGCAGATATTAAGTAAATTGTACTTGTTAGGGCTCGGGAGGACCTCTGCTTCCATTAAAGAGGTGTTTCATGGGTCTGCTTGTTATAATAGGCTATGTTTAATATTTAGTTTTGCATTGATCTACCTGGTATTCCTGGAGGGTCTTGAAATGTTCTGGTGCCACATTCTGGGAATAAAAAGGACTAGGACTTCTGGCTGGTGTAATTCTGTTACTGGATCCATCTGTAGGAAACACACACACTGACTGAATACATTGTTTCTATGTCTTTATATCAGAGGATGTATGTAACTAGGTGGATCCTCAATACTCTTCTCTCCTTTACAAGAAATGAAGGTCCCCTCCTACTCGGTGATGTGAGGGGCAGCTGATCCTCCATCATGACGTTCTTCTACAGATCCTTGTGTCCATCTATATACTCCCACTCCTCTATTGTTTCTATGTCTTTATATCAGAGGATGTGTCTATCTAGGTGGATGCTCAATACAAGAAATGAAAGTCTCCTCTTACCTGGTGATATGACAGGTGGCCGGTTCTCCATCATGACGTTCTTCTAAAGATCCTTGTGTCCTTCTATATACTCCCACTCCTCTATTGTTTCTATGTCTTTATATCAGAGGATGTGTGTATCTAGGTGGATCCTCAATACAAGAAATTAAAGTCTCCTCTTACCCGGTGATGTGAGAGGTGGCTGGTTCTCCATCATGGCGTCCTTGTACAGGTCCTTGTGTCCTTCTATATACTCCAACTCCTCCATGGAGAAAGGTACATTGCTAAACGGATATCCTATAGGAACCTGACACACACAATGATAAAGTCACCATCCAGACACATCCCTTGTCTGTTACTGGATAATGTCCCAGAATTCCCAGCACCGCTCACCTTTCCGGTCAGCAGCTCAATGATCTCACTGGTGACTTCTTCAACCTTCTTGTTATTCTTTTTCAGAGACTGAGATGGAGGGTCTGTATTGAAGCTTTGATTCTTCCTCATGTTGGTTGCCACCAAACCATTCGATAATTTGAAGGCTATATAATTCTATATTTGAAGCACAAACACCAAGTTATGCCACCATAAATATTGTAAATGCTTTAAAATGAATGTGATTACAGTATCTAACAGTTCTTCCGTCAGGTCAGTGATGTAATGTGACCCTCCCAGAATCCTCCTCACCTCTCCAGCCAGGTCTGTGTTTTATTAATAGAGTCAAGAGTGATGTCATGTGATCTCCCAGAATCCTCCTCACCTCTTTGGTCAGGTCTGTTTAATTAATAGAGATGAGAGTGATATCATGTGACCTCCCAGAATCCTCCTCACCTCTCCAGTCAACAAGTAGATGATCTCCAGGGTGAGGTTTAAAATCCTCTCGGACATGTGACCTCGCTCTTTCTCCATCCTTGACTGGACATCTATTTAATGGTCTTTCCTTGGATATGGTTTTACATTCAATGAAAGTTTAACAATCTTGTTGGCTGAAACAAAAACCATATATATGGAGAAGTCAAGCAGACGTAAGCTTAGATGTCAATGTAGAGTAACCCAGAAGAAAAAAAAAAAAAGTATGGTGAAATCCTTCATACTGAAGAGTATATATTACCAACCGATAAAGCAGGTGATATATTGTTGTAGAGTTATGACACATTAGCGCTAATATGGCCGGACTGGGAGTGGTAAACAATACCCCCTCTCTGTTGACGCCATTGAAAGCTTCTCTGTAGAAGGAATGTAAAAGCCGGCACAGAGAGGAGGATCAGCAAATGAGAGGATCTGCAGAGCTGGGGGTTACTACTGAGCGGGGGGTTCTGCAGAGCTGTGGATTACTACTGAGCGGGGGATCAGCAGAGCTGGGGGTTACTACTGAGCGGGGAATCAGCAGAGCTGGGGGTTACTACAGAGCGGGTGATCAGCAGAGCTGTGGATTGCTACTGAGTGGGGGATTTGCAGAGCTGTGGATTACTACTGAGCGGGGAATCAGCAGAGCTGCGGATTACTACTGACCGGGGGAATCAGCAGAGCTGTGGATTACTGCTGAGCGGGAGGATCAGCAGATCTGGGGGTTACTACTGAGCGGGGGATCAGCAGATCTGAGGATTAGTACTGAGCGGGGGATCAGCAGAGCTGTGGATTACTACTGAGCCGGGGATCAGCAGAGCAGGGGGTTACTACTGAGCGGGGGGGGGATCAGCAGGGCTGGATGTTACCAGTGAGCAGGGGATCAGCAGAGCTGGAGGTTACCAGTGAGCAGGGTATCAGCAGAGCTGGAGGTTACTAGTAAGCAGGGGATCAGCAGAGCTGGGACTTACTACTGAATGAGGGATCAACAGAGTATGGCGTTACTACTGAGCAGGGGATCAGCAAGCCTGTGGGTACTACTGAGTGGGCATCAACAGAGCTGGGGAAACTACTGAGTGATGCATCAACAGAGCTGGGGATACTAAGGAGCGGGGGATCAGAAGACCTGGAGGTTACTACTCAGCGGGGGATCAGCAGAGCTGGCGGTTACCAGTGAGTGGGGGATCAGCAGAGCTGGAGGTTACCAGTCAGTGGGAGATCAGCAGAGATGGAGGTTACCAGTGAGCGGGGGATCAGCAGAGCTGGAGGTTACCAGTGAGCGGGGGAACAGCAGAGCTGGAGGTTACCAGTCAGTGTGGGATGAGCAGAGATGGAGGTTACCAGTGAGCGGGGGATCAGCAGAGATGGAGGTTACCAGTGAGCGGGGGATCAGCAGAGATGGAGGTTACCAGTGAGCGGGGGATCAGCAGAGATGGAGGTTACCAGCAGAGATGGAGGTTACCAGTGAGCGGGGGATCAGCAGAGATGGAGGTTACCAGTGAGCGGGGAATCAGCAGAGCTGGAGGTTACCAGTCAGTGGGGGATCAGCAGAGCTGGAGGTTACCGGTCAGTGGGGGATCAGCAGAGCTGGAGGTTACTAATGAGTGGGGGATCAGTAGAGCTGGAGGTTACTAATGAGTGGGGGATCAGTAGAGCTGAAGGCAGAGCTGGAGGTTACCAGTGAGCTGGGGATCAGCAGAGCTGGAGGTTACTAGTGAGCGGGGGATCAGCAGAGCTGGAGTTTACTAGTGAGTGGGGGATCAGCAGAGCTGGAGGTTACTAGTGAGCGGGAGATCAGCAGAGCTGGGGGTTACTACTGAGTGGGGGATCAGAAGAGCTGAAGGCAGAGCTGGAGGTTACCAATGAGCTGGGGATCAGCAGAGCTGGAGGTTACTAGTCAGCGGGGGATCAGCAGAGTTGGGACTTACTACTGAGTGGGGGGGTTACTAATGAGTGAGGGATCAACAGAGTATGGGGTTACTACTGAACAGGGGATCGGCAAGCTTGAGGGTACTAATAAGTGGGGCATCAACAGAGCTGAGGGTACTGCCGAACGAGAGTACTGATACTATTAAGGGGTACTACTGAGCCTCTTTAAAACAAATAGAAATCCAACACACGCAGGGCATTTGCCAAGTTTCATTGAAGCTGTAGGCGCTTTAATGTGTGCTGAAGTCGATCCAAGCGTAAATGAAGGTTACACCAAAAAGTGGTCAAAGTTCCGCACACTGCTGTGACCGAGTGTTCTTCACAAGGTCGCGTTTGCATCGCTTCTGCGTGCATTGAGCCAAAATTGATCCAACACATCTTCTTCAGTTGGCTTTATTGCTCCCCAATGTTTATCGCTATCAATGTAAAGTTAATTGCGCCACAAATGGCATTTACAGAGCGTCTGCAATGCGTCTTGAAACCTTTACCTGGCGAGATGATAATACAAGGATCCATACAATAGGAAACCAATCCAGAGGAGGCGCCCGGATTTTAGGAGCTATGTGTACGTGAAACCACCCAGTACAAACCTTGCTGACCCCTGAGGACACATGACCTGACCCACATCACATGACACACCCCCCCCATACAGCCCCCACACATAGTGCTGGGACCCTCTTCTCTCATAATAAGAAGATATTCTTACCTTCTCCTCACAGGGAACACACTCACTCCAATCTTACACCCCCACAGGAAATTCCCAATCCTCCAAACCTTTTTGGGATACAACAAAATGGCCCTTTACTATACTAAGGACACTTTTCATTTTCGGTGTCGAAAATACAGAACCTTTAAAACCATTGTAACGTTACCAGGGAGCGGTGAGAGGTGACTGCAAACCGCTGGCCCTTCTTATCTATATCTAGTCCAACAACTGAAATTCTCTGCTTGGAGAACGAGTAAGATACAGGCGACAACAAAATGGGTGCCAAACTACGGCGAGAGACGTTCTCACAGGAGCTGGCGTCACCATAACAACCAGGAAGAGGTCTGGCAGCTGTGAAACGCACACACCGGAAGTGAAAGCCACAGAGCGGAAGTTGGGGAAGAAAGTGATGATAGGATGGGTAGCTGGTCAGGGATGAGGAGATATTGGAGTGGAAGTAGATTCATATGGTAATTGTATAAGGGAAAATATTATATATATATATATATATATATATATATATAATAATACATATATATATATATATATATATATATATATATATAATATAAATATATATAATTTTTTATTTATTATATTTATATATATGTAAATATAATATATATAAAAGATGGAATACTTTCAGATTCACAGAAGGAGCAGTCCAGTTTTTTAAGCCCTTGACCTACAGAGAATTTCCCCCCCCCCTTCCTGACCAGGCCTTTTTTTTGCGATACAGCACTGCGTTACTTTAACTGACAATTGCGCGGTCATGCAACGCTGCACCCAAATGGAATTTATGTCCTTTTTTCCCCCACAAATATTGCTTTCTTTTGGTGGTATTTGATCACCTCTGCAGGTTTTTAATTTTTGTGCTATAAGCAAAAAAAAGACCAACAATTTTGAAAAAAAAAAATATATATATATATTTTGGTCTTTTTGCTATAAAACATGTCCAATAAAAAAAAATGACAATATCAAATTTCGTCATAAATTTAGGTCGAAATGTATTCTGCTCCATGTCTTTGCTAAAAAAAATCCCAATACGTGTAAATTGGTTTACATGAAAGTTATAGCATTTACAAATGGTGGTATATATAATGGAATTTAAATTTTTTTTTATACCAGTAATGGGGGGGAACTGACTTGGTGTCACTGACATCCCCAGTGACACCAATACAGTGATCAGTGCTAATAACAACCAATGACACTGTACTAATAGCACTGGGCAAGAAGGGGTTAACATCTGGGGCCATCAAAGGATTACCTGTGTGCTGTGTGTGTTTTACTAGGGAGACATGCTGTGCAGAGAGATACACAGCAGCATGTCCTTGCTGGCAGGAGAGAGACCTGTGTTGATTACACACAGACCTCTCCCCGGTTGGCTTTCCCCGATGATCACCGAATGCTGGCCGGGACCTGGTGACTGACCATCTCTAGCCACCAATAGCATCGTGGGTAGGGATATGTACACACCCCCTACCAGTAAATGCAAATTAGAAAAATTTAATTTTGCGCAGCCCTGCCGCCCTGGAGCAGTAGTTCTGCTATATGGTGGAGGGCAAGCAATTAACAAAGGTAGAATGTATGAAGCCCGAAAAAGGAAACCAAAGTGTGATCAGCAGATGCGTCCTTTGAAAAAAGGAGCTTCCAAATGGATCCTTTAGGACGGCAAATGTTCATTGGTCAAATGTACAGGTCAGGACACACCTTCAATGCGTTTTGTTGATCTTTAGTGGCCAGTTCGTCAGGAACAGGCATACAGTACACTTTAATGGGCGAGAGCTGTATACATTCATTGTGTACCGTACACTTTTTCCTGATGAAGAGGCCACTAAGGAGCCACAAAACGCTTTATGGTTCAGCTTGTTTTTATGACCAATAAACAACTACTTTCCCGAAGAATCCATTTAGAAGCACCTTCTTATTTAAAGTCGCCTCTGCTAACCACGCATTGGTTCCATTTTGGGGGCTCATCCCTTCCAATATTGTTCACCAGAACGTGATCACAGCCTGGCACAGGGCAGAAATCTCTGGAAAACCCTGCCGAGCATCAAGACGCATATAGTCATTGTCAGGGAGCGAGGAACCAGACACACAAGGAGGTGCAATTAAAGGTAGGTTTATTATACAAAACAAGACAGAGTCTATGCAAGTCCAACAGCAAATGACTTGGTAGAACAGTAGCCAGGAAGGATGGTCGCCAGCGCCGGGGTCAGAAGCCAGGAAGGATGATCGCCAGAGCCGGGGTCAGAAGCCAGGAGCGATGGTCGCCAGAGCCGGGGTCAGAAGCCAGGAAGGATGGTTGCCAGAGCCGGGGTCAGAAGCCAGGAAGGAGTCTTGCCAAAGCCGAGTCGGTATCCAGGAGAGCAATGAGAAACTAAACAGGAGCTTGCTGCTGTGCAACAGACAGGACACGAATGCAATG